GGCTGGCAGCGGCCGGAGGCGGCGGAGGAGAAGCGGTGGAGGGGGCGGCGGGGGCGGCGGCGGCGGCAGTGGCGGCGACGGCTGCGACGCCGCGAAGGGAGCCGCCGCTTTGGGCTGCGGGGACACGGGAGGGGCGAGGGACACCAAGGGCCGCCCTGCGGGCTCGGCACGGGCCTGTCGGGAAGGGGTTTAGTGGAAGCGGAGAGAGGGAGAAAGAGAAGAGACAGAGAGAGAGGGAGGGAGGGAGACAAAGAGATTATGAAGTCAAGGTCTCAATGTGCCCATCGTTAAAAGTAAGTGGTGGGTTATGGGCATGCGGGGAGCGTTAGTGAGCTGGGGCAGGCAGGCGCTGGGGCAGGCGGGCACGAGGCCTCCAAGCTGCCCGCCAGCTTCACACTGCTCAGCGCTGCCAAGGGCAGCCGCCCCACAGCACTCCGAATGGCGGGAAGAGCAGCTCCAGGCAGGGATCGGAGGTCCCTGTGCGCTGCAAGTTCTGACACCCAACACCGCCAAGGGAAAGCAACCAGGAAAGGGGAAGAACAGCCATTTCTTAGGCAAAATTCCCCAGAAGGAAACATTTAGAGAGGTCTACAAAACAAGGTTAGCCTTGGAAAGGAAAGCCAGACATGCAGCCCAGTATTATCCAAAGCAGGAGGAGGAAAGAAGGGGGACACCACCTAAAGGGAGGAGCAATTGGAAAGCAGCAGGCAACATTTCAGTTTACTCATTGGGCTTTGGTCAGGTTAAAGAGTATTTCTCTAAAATTGTAAACTTACATTTCTGTTAAGAATTAAAAGGATAATTACATTACTCAGCCCCCAATACAAGATAGCCCCACAACCCCAAAGCGCCACAAGCCAAGTTGTGAACTTCAGAGTGCACAGAATAGAAACATGCGTTAGAAATGCAATACTAATGTGGCAACTACCCAGCCTGGGCACCTGCACTTCATTAGTATATATTCTGCTGCAAGTTAGCTCATTTATGCCCATTTGCCCTGCACGAGCTTGTTTGTACATCACTTTGTTCTAGACACAGGTGCGCTGAGTTTTTGTATGCACAGAAAGAAACCAAAAATATTAAGAGTCAGAAAAAACAAACAGTGATTTATAACAAACACCAGGTTGTGCCTCTACCTGTCAGATTAGGTACATAGAGCAAGGAGTAAAAAAGCTCTTTTGAACTGTACGAACACGTTCACAAAACAAAACGGGAGAGATATCTTGATCTCTTGCAAGTGTTAGTCTGTAAATTACCACTGAGCCAACCACTCAAGTTAATAAATTTTCAAACAACAGCCCCTGACCTTAATCCTGCCCTGAATAAGGCACCTCGGGTGTGCTGACCTTAGCTGTGCTGAGCTTCACTTTTGACACCTGGGACAGCAAAAGGCAACAGGAGAAATAAAAGCGGCGTAAAACAGAGAGGGACACCAAGGCATAAGAGAGCAGCTCTCCGAGACCAGAGGGAATTGCGGACAAAGATCTGTGCCTCATTCCTTGGCATGCACGGTGAGCGCTCACTGTGATGCCCTTTGTAGCATCCTATTTGAAACAACATTTGTTCCAGACCTAAGAGCCAAAGCAAGGCACAATGAGATCCTCACTGCCCGACTAGCAAGAACATGAACAGGAGGATAATGGATTCTTTGGAAAATTCGGTACTTTTTCAAAGTGTGAACTGCTCAGATTATCTGTGCTTTTACATGGCGTTTTAATTTTAGGCGTACTTGAAACACAGAGATATGCATCTGTAGGACTATCTGCAAAGTAAGGATTGTTAAAAGTAACATCCTGCTGTATTTTTAGCCATTTTTCCTAACAAAACAAGCTTTTGCAATTGCACTGTTTGCCATCTATCCCCATGCCAATCACTTTTGGGGATCAGACGGTCGATTTCATACAAATACAACAACTCAATCACCTCTCAGTATATCCCAGTATATTCACTCTCACAAACTGAGGTGAAAACTGGCACCTGGGTCAATGAGGGAAATATGGGCAGAACTCACTCAATTTGAGTAAGTTGAGTGGTTAGTCACTAGCCAACCAGTATAAAATGCTGGCCAGTTGGCCAGCCCCACTGCCATCTCCCTAGTGAGCTGAAGGGGATGTGACAAGGGTGTCACTGCAGAAGGGGAAGAAATGGGCATGCTGGAAAGACTCCATAAGCTCTGCCACTTGCAACATCCCGCCTTCATGACCTGCTTAGTGCAGCTTTATTCACAAAGCTGAAGACCAACCTGCTGATCCCAGCATGTCTCAGTATCACTGGGACTACAACCACCTTTTCACATAAATTACTATTTTGACAGCACTGCTGTTTCCTTGCTTGTCACAGAATTTATCATTTTCCACTGTCAGTTTGGACCTTAACTGTCGGTTAAGGACCTTAAGCCCTAAGGTCCTTAAGACCAGTCCTGTAATAGATAAAAAAGCATAGACTATAATAATATTGCGGAAGTTAAAATTTGTTGCCAATTTGTTTTTTTTTTTTTTTTTTTTTCTAACAATGTTTGGAACTAAAACTTTACATGGCTCATTTCAGTTGGCTTCTTTGGAAGTTTTAAGACAATCCCCTCACCCAGATAAGGTACAAGCAAAGGAAACATACTTTTTCTTGGATTTATACTCACAGAGAAACTCAGACTGATGAAATCTTGAAATATCAATGGCCCTCAACAGGCATCAGTCTGAATATTTTATTTTAAAATGCTTGAATAAGATAGCATAGACATTTTGGGGGATTATTTTAACAAGCAATTGCCAGTGGCACTATGGAGCTGTTAAGATCAAAAATCCATAGTGCTAAGATTTCAACTTTTCCCTGAAAGTTCACAGAGCACTTAAGTTTTAGTGTAGCAGCAAGATTTTCAGATTATAATCAAAACTTTAGGAAACAATAACATTTCAGTTCTCATAGCAATGTACTTTCACCTCTATTGGACACATGTAAAACAGATTGAAGTGCCTTATCTTTTGCGTCTGTCCAGTTCTTGCAGAAATTATGCACTTGGAACACGTACAGAAACCACCTGCTGATGAACATGCTTCAGCTGTTGCATTTTCATACTTCAAAAATTCGTATCACAACATAAAACTACCCAAAGCACCACAAGACCTGAAGAATCGATATCTTTTGCATCTCTCTACCAGAAACAGTATCCCAAATCTGTTTCAGTCTACAATTACTGTCAACTATGGCACTTCTGCTTTGAATATATCAGTTTACTCTTTCTGTGTACATAGAACATGGAAAACGTTTGAGTAAAACTCGGACCATAATTTAAATAGATGTACCTGGCTCCAGGCCTCAGTTATTCACATCTTTGCAATGGAAAGATGTGGCTAGTTAATTAAAGAAAGATCTTGCTGAAAGAATTCCATTCAACTGATGAACAACTGATTTTTATTTGGTCTTTATTCAACACTAATTAATAGGATTCTGTGGGAAAGACAGTCTTACGCCTTCAAAGAACAAGGAGCTTCAGTGCACACACAAATGAAAACAAGAACAGAAGGTTGCAGGACTGTATTTCCCTGAAAAAGTGATTGCTTTAAAAAAAAACAATTTTATGTATATGTATATGTCAATAATGTAGAATTTAAAATAAAAGAAGAAATCACACTAAAGACAGAGCTGGAAGAGGTGTCACTCTGTCTTGTGCATTTTGTTGAGTGGTTGGTTCTCAAACTAAAGTCTTCTTGTTACCTTGCTAGATTCTTCCAGTTGAGTGCCTCGCTTCCAGGCCTCGGAGAACATGGAGCTGACAATGCTTTGGGAACGGACATGTCCAGTTGGCTGCGTGTCAGAAACTCCACTGTCAGACTGATTAGAATGATTTGATTGAGATTCTGTTTAAAACAATAAAAAGTTTTAAAATGATTAGCATATGTTTCTGAATGTCCAGGCAAGTGAGAGTGCTTCTAATGCAACTCTGAGTGATATTTATTGATCACAGGGTGAAAGATTAATATCACACTTGTTCAAGATGTAATCCCACTAAAGGACACTGTTCCCACCATATACTGCTTAAGTCTTGGCTTATGCAGTAGATACCTATGCTTATCTACTCGCTTAGGCAGTAGATATCAGTAGTAGATATGCAGTAGATAGCAGTGGCAGAAAATGTTCCTCTCCCCAGGAGAGAAAAAGGAATCACGTGTGTCCTACAGCCTGTGAATGCAGAGGACGCCCTGGGGCCACAGGGCACCTTGAGAAGGCTGCCTCTGCCAGCCCAATTTATCCAGCTTGGCACCTGCTTCCTGCAGAGTCTGAAGCTGCCCCAGGGAAAGGGGGGAACTAGGCAAACACTGAACTGCAGCTCTAGCAAAACATGCCTAACTGTTGGCCTAGGACTCAGCACTCCAGATCAAGAGATGCCTGCTCAGAAAAAACATCCAACTTGGATGGAAAAAGTGTCAGTAATAAAGAATTTACCACTGTCCTTGAAAAGCTGCTCCACACAACTGAGCAAGTGTGGTGCCCTCCTGATTAGCCTGAATTTGTTTAGCTCATTTTCACCTGCTGCTTTACAAACCTTTTCAACTTAATAACATTCTTCTTGATCTGTGGTACTATCTGTGACTGACCAAACACTTGCATAATAACCTCTTTTCAACAATGAAACTACCCTATGGGCTCAAAAAAACTTGGCACAGTGTCAGTTAGCTCCAAACAGTGAAGTGAGACTGTAAACCATCCATCAAATTTTGAACTATTTGCTACAAAAGAACAGGTTCTGCTCCCGCTGAGGGGTAAACAGGAGCAGATTCCTGCAAGCATACAGCTAGTATTTTCAGTTTGTCTCTGAAGGGTCTTTGCCTTTGGACAGGGACTGTTTTCAGCTTACTAATCTCAAACATTTCAGCCCATAAAAGCAGTTTTAGAACTAAGCACAGAACTCTTCATGCATAACTCAATAACAGACATTAACTTATTTTTTCTTTTTCAAATCAGTGAAAATAGAAGCATCCGGTATTTGAAAGCAGGTTTCCTTTCAAGTTCAGAACAATATTCTGGAATGTGAAATTACAGTATGTTCTGAAAATACACTACTGTATGCAATAAAATAAATTAGCTCTTTAGATTCAACTGCCTAAAAAGACTATAGAGAAATAGCCCATTTCCTTCAACAGCCTCTCCTTGGGTCTCCAGACAGCTGAGGATTAAAAAAAAAAAAAAAAAAAAAAAAAAAAAAAAAAAGGTAATTAAGTCTACTCTGAGACAGATTACATAATTACCTGGCAAACTAGATGAGCTGGAGCCTGACTTGATACTGGAGCTAGACAAGGAAGTCCAGTCATATGCCGATTCCGTCCTCTTCAGTGCTTCCTGGTAGTTCATGTACAGCTGCTTCCCATACTAAGCAAAATGACAAAGACATTTAGCAGCTGTCTAGGTTGTATAACCTTTGCAGATTGTTGATCTCCACCTCAGGCTTCTCTGTTCCAAGTCTTTTCCCACAGATAAAGAGCAGCATCTCCGCCAAGGAGCTCAAGCTACATTAATTCTGGGCAAATTTAATTGTGCTATTTTAACAGCAGTGGTAACTCCTTCCTCCCAACCCTCTGCCTTTTTATTACTGAACTGCTGAAAGAAAGAAAAACAACCTATTTATGCTAGGAGAAAAGTAGTTGAACCACCTAGAATAATGCAAGAAGTGGGACACTGAATGAAGTAAGACAAACTGCTGATCTCAAAAAACAATTCTGTGCACCTCAAAGTGAGAGGGCTTTTTTCATAAGTCTCATTTTAAAATCTGTTAGAGAACTAGCCAAAATTTAGTGGTGATATCTATACCAACTTTGTCATACAACAAAGCAGAAGGGCTGCAGACGTAGGAGGAAAGGGCCCATTTACTGAATTATCCTAACCACTAATATCCGTAATTTTGCTAGGGAACAAAGCAGAAGATTGCCTGATTCTAGTTAAACATAGGGAAATATAGATTTAGTGTTACATGATTTGCCAAATAACTGTAAATGGGTTTAAAGGGATAATACTGACATACCACTGCTGCTAGCTATTGATGCAGATACAAAGCATGTTCTCTTCTCCCCTCCCATTCCTGATGAACCTTTGGATCAGTAAGGCAAATACAGCCAGGCAGTAACACCTAAGCACAACGACAACAGTGAAGACGACTTGCTACAAAATGTTACCTTAGCAATGCGGATGCCATTGATCCACTGGTGTAGAGTTCTCACATCATCACAGCAAAGATACTTGATATACTGGGATTTCTTCTGGATCTGAGGATGCTGCAGAAAAAAAAAAAAAAAAAAGGTTAATCCTCATCAGTTTTATAACTAGGAACACCGAGAAAGACACTTATCTCAAGAGGTCTAGAAAGAAAAGCTTAACTGCTGAAAGCTCTTGGAATGGTGGTTTTGAGGCAACTTTAGAAGTGCATGCGAGTACTTCAGGAGGTGGAGGGATCTGCTTTACCTATAGATTGATGATCACTCCAGTGAGCATTCATTTCAGGTTTGAAATATTAGTAATTGGTTAATCTTGTATTTTAGTATTGTGGCTATTCTGAACGCCTTAGGCTCTTAAGAAAGCTTTTTACTAAACATTCTCACCTCATAAAAACCCATTCTGAGCACGAGCAAGAGCCTGCCAAAGGGTTATCCCCTGTTACCACTCTATAGACTGAGCTACCACACGACTCCCAAAGCTAATATTTCAAGTTCCTCTCATACCAAAACACACCGGAGGAAAACAAACATACTGGTCTTCCATGCTTTTTCATGGCGTGAGTGAGATGCTCAACAGATTGTCAAGAACAATTCCTTTTATTTTCAGCTTCTAAAGCCTTCAGGGTCTTTGTTCTATTGCAACACGAATAAAATCTAGAATCCTTGCTGCTTCTTTATATAAGAAGGATAAAACACGGCACTTATCATTTCCGGAGCCAAATAAGAAACATGTATTTTCACGTCATGTATGGAAGGAAGATGATTCAGGGCAACGTAATGAACATCACAAGTAATGAGTGGCATGGGAACAGGGAAAAACTGTTCACTGGTTCTTCTTACTCAAGAACTAGTGGAAGTGAAACAGAAAGCAACTGTTTGTTCAGAACAAATAAAAGAGAATACTTCTGCATTCAATCTGCATCCAGCTGCCAGAGGAAAATAAAGAGGGATTCCTGGGGTCCCAAGGGAGATGGCACATACCCAAGGAGTAAAAAAGCAGGCCTGCTTTTTTCCTGCACATGGATCAGCTAACAGGAGGCAATCTGCCAGCTAGATGGGGAAGAAACTGCAGAACCCCTGCACTAATCCTCTTGTGGAATTTTCACCATTTTTCATGGATTCTTCTATCAAGTAAGGTTGTTACATCAGCTCCATGTAACGCACAACTAAGCATATCTTTTTCCTTGTCACTGTAACTTATGGTAATTTATACTTCTCATGTGCCAAACTAAAATAATTTAGAGATCCACCCTGCAAGCTGACAGGCACAGTTTTCCAACTGCTACATTACTGGAAAAAAAAAAAAAAATTTCCTACATTATAATCTTTCCCAACATTAGTATGTGTTCTATCTAGCTCATGACTGGCAAGTGCAAGGCACTAAACATATCGGAGAAGTGTTTGATTCTCTTCAAATGCTCTCCCTAGCATGAGAATTTTTTAAACAATTAACAAGTTACCTTCAGTACTAAGCAGTAGTCTGTAGGTGCTTTGTACTTGTTCCGATAGTCCTGTCCATAGTAAACGTTGACATGATCAAGCTGTAGAAAGCACACGAGATCCCGTGATACCTATTAAATACAAAATAATTAGTTATAAAATATTTAAGAAGACCATGCTTCTCTGAAAAGCAGTCTAATATTAAGATCTAAAGTTAAAATAAGGATTACTATCAGTATCAGCCTGACACTAAGACTACAAATACAACAGAGGATACAGATAAGCATGTAATCCTTGTATGAGATGCTCATTTTGAGCCAAGATAACTTTTTTTGAATTTAGTTTAGCTTTTTGGGTTTTATTTGCATTTTACTATTTCACATTTTATCCAGGCTGCTATGTGTATTCATAGCTGCTATCCAGAAAAAGTAAATAGGGCTAGACACAGAATTTTAACAGGGTATCTTGCATATAGATTGTTCTAACAAAGCAAAAGACTGTAGAGATAACACGTGAGAGCCATTCAGCTGTAAAGCGAGTTGATGCACTAATGCAGCACAAGGGTAATTCCCTCTTCTGTCAGCTGTCTGGGAAGTGAACTCCTGTGTTAAGGATCAGTTGAAGCCTTGAAGACTCATTCACAATCATCTCCCAACCTTGAAGCTATAATACATTTTTACCCTATTTCTATTTTCTTTCATTACAGAGAAAGTAACAAGTGATACTGAAGAAACGGTAAGCTATGTGCCAGTTTCAGAAAATGTAGGACAAATCTGTCTGGAAAGAAACATGTTTATATGAGTTAAAATCAGTAAAATTTGGAGGACTGATTATGGAGTTCTTTGGATATTTTCCAATTGGCATTTGCATTGCATATAGGTCTTTCATGTGAATTTTACCTGAGAAAGGAGAGACACTTCAAACCAAGGGTTACTATAGCAATATATAGCACACTTGCATGATAAAATGGTACTTTTAATTACTATGCATGAGTACAGCTAAGTCAAAATTCAAGGCTCATTCTTGCACACTTACTGTTTTACTAGCAATATACATTTTTCCCCATGCTGTGGAAGCTGATTATTGCCTGACAGCAGGCTGAGATTAGATGACCTTTTTTTTTCAGGGAAACTGCTTTAAAACAGTATACCTTTGCTTTCCCTTTAGGGACATAGTAGATTCCAGAAGCTCTAAGAAGAAAGTAACGTTTCTTCCATGACTTTTTACCATCTTCTTTCAGCCACAAAACTCCCTCAATTTCTGGCACTGTTACAGAGCTTCCACAGAAACATTCCTGCAAATAATTACAATGGTTTGGAAAAGACATAGGACATATGGCAAGCAATTAGTCTTCTTTTCTTTCTTTCTTTTCTTTTTTTCTTTTTTTTTTTTAAATGTGAATTGAGAATTCTTTAGCTCAACATTCTTTACCTAAGGAATGCAAATTCAACAAGGAAAGCCACTAGTAAAATTTAGGTATTAACTGTAGAAGCTAGAAAGTAATTCAAACCTAACTCCATAGAGAATCTTATCATTTTCCCAGAGCAAGAACAACTACAAAAATGCTAACTACCGAAAGATTTTTTAAATACCACTTATCAGGAATAGAATCCCCCAACAGCTTTACTGGCCTTAGAGGCACAAGGTCACCTTACACATATAGGCTTAGAAATCTGAATCCACACAGAACCTAAACCTAATCATATATCCATCAGATGTAGCAATGATGCATTGCATGTGTACTTTGCTGCTTCTAATTGCCAATGCTAGAACTTCTCTTATGGTTTTATTTAGAAAAAGCTAACAGAAGAAAAACAAATGCTCTAAACACATTCCAAACTAATCTGCAGCATGGAGATTTACCAGTAATCCAAGAAGATAAGAGGAATTAGGCAGCATTACAACTCTGTGTGTCACAGCTCTAAGCAATTTTTCAATTCACAGTACCCAGATAACCACTTACTAAAACCTGCATTCAAAATTTAGTAAAATCATGTATATGCTACTTACAAACACATGTATACTATTAAGTATAGTCTAAAAATCAGCATTCAAAAAGCTTTTTTGTGTGTAAAGTTGTTGAAATCATGATTATTCTAGTAATCAAGTGATAAGTCATCTAATTTGAAATATGTTAGCTGTAAAACAGCCATTTACTCACAAATAACACATTCTATTCTCAGTTTTCACAGATCTTTCAGAGATTAGCTTCCAACTTAGAAATGACTCTTTGGCCTTTTTGCTTTGGCTGTCTTACCTCTAGCAGCACTTCTTTATTTCTGTCTGCCATTTCAGAGGTTTCTTTTTTCCCCAGAAGATAGTTCTGCAACGAGTGAAAGAGAAAGTTCAGCATTTCATTAGGTATTCTGAAATGAAGCCAAACATTTCTTGTTTACATTTTTACACCAGTTAAGCAAACAAACAAACAGCTACTATCTAAGAACATCACGTTAATGCAACAAAAGTTTGTAGACCAACTGAAACAATCTGTCAAACTGCCGAAAGAGACATGGAACTAAGCTAACACTTTTTCCAGAAGTATCCATTATTCTATAATTCTGAAGTAACACCTGCATGACTACACTGTGCTGGCTTTCCACAAAACAACTAATTGGTACATTGTATCCAGGGGAAAAAAAAAAAAAGAAAAAAATAGTATTCTGAAACGCTCACACTTTTTCAGACTTGCTATTTGACTGCTAAGTGGCTATTCCACTTGATGCTGTTTTCCCTTCTTGACAGTCAGGTAGGAATAGAGAGTAAAATACCAACAATCTTCCTCAGATCTGTGTATGTGAAGAGAAGCAAGTACTGGTGCAGATACCACAAGCAGTATTGCTTGCCTTCATCTCTATGAGAATTACTCACTATCGCATTAAAAACCAAATTGCTTCAGCTCGTGCTTTTCTGTAATGCATTTGCCTTTCACCAACCACTACACGCTGAAAAGTAAAGTTGCCTTTATTCCTTTGGCATAAACACTAGCTTTGAAATAGAAGTTTTTAAAAAAGCCAGACATTGGCATCAGGAATGTATATGCTCCCAGGCAATGAGAACTGAAGTCTTACCTGGGGATTCTTGAAAAGTGCATATTTCTCTATTCGTTCCACAAACATTAGTTTGTTCTGACTGTCTCTTGTCCAGTTCAGAAGATTTTCAACTAAATTTTCATGATCTTCAAAGATTCTTTCTGGAGCAAAAACAAAGAGCAAATACATTTGATTCTGCGACATTTTGCAATAGTCATGTTTTGCTCTATTGTCATATCAGGATGACAGGGTACTTCAGGAAAGAAAAGACACTTCAAGCTCCAATATAATAGAAGAAAAAGGTTAAAAACACTCAGAAATTAAAAGCACACAGTCAACTTTCAAATATGTCAAATACTCATTTTATACATACTTGCTCACACTCTTACTCTCCTATCCTCAGGCTTACACTTCCATCAATAAAGTTTAAGTATGAACCTGACAAGTTTGCAGTTCCACGTTAACACAAAAGACTCAAATGAGTGTTTGAAGCACTATGAGTAGAAATAGGAAGGCTACCACATCTGTAACTCTAACTACTCTAGTCCACACAATCCCAAAGTAATTAGAAGGCTTTTTCAGCATAAACAGTCACCCATCCATGTCTCACTGAACACTGACACTCTCCATTTACTACTATTTATCTTACTAGAAAAAATGCTGCATCAGTAAGAGCTTCAGAGAACAATCATTTCAGTGTGCAGAATCAACAACTGACTGTTGATTATGACCAGTGCAGGATACTGAAAACAGGCAAAGGAGAGAGGAAAAAAAGGAGCAACATTTCCTGAAATGGTAAAAGAAAAGAAAAAAAAAAAAAAAAAAAAAAAAAAAAAAAAAAAAAAAAAAATGATTCTGATACTTCATATACAATATCTTTGGGAGGCTGCTGGAAGTGCATTCTCATCTAAAAGACACTGAAGTATAACCTTTCTTCAATTTGCTCCTCTGCATACCTGCTACACAGTGACACTTCAGTAAATCATTTCTTTCAGAATTATTTGGGACTTGCCTGATCTTTCCTTAGCATCTGAAAGCAGAGCATGACTTATACTTCATTTTACAAAATCAATTACACTGTATTATCAGAGAGGGCATATATGGCACTGATCACATTCAGACCTACAAGTTATCACTAATGAGGGGCAAGGTGACAGATGACACCTTAATATCTTCATTAGGAACACCAAGCAGAGTGTATCATCTCTTGGGATTGAATTAGGGTTTGATAAGAGGCACTACACAGGACATGACTTCACGCGAGGTCTCAGAAAGATCTAAGAAGCTTTCAAGCTACATCTCATGATTTGCCCAAGCTTGATCAGCAGTACAACGATACTGTCTTCCAACAAAGCACAAAAGTATTCTACAGAAGAACAAAACCAAACAGACTTCAGATAGCTGTGATACAAAAGCCTAAAGCCCACTGCAGCTTCATTAGGTAAAACAGATAGCTTATAAGGCATATCAGCTATATCAGCTGTATTTGTGAAATGGAAAAAAGTAATACTGAGCGCTGCTCAAAAGTGCTTAGACTTAGAAAACTACTGGATAAATCACCAGATTGTTAGACGTGATCTTGTATTTCACATGCACCTATCTAATTCAGGTTCCTCATGAAGATTAATTTACTACACACATTAGAAGCAAACAACGTAAATGCAAAGACATGTTGAGCAGGCCTGAGGCTAAAGAGGGTGAGTAGGCCTGAGGGTAAATAGTGGGAGTAGGCCTGGGGGTAAAGGGAGGTTAAAAAGGAAGGTTAGGAGTGATTAAATTATCAGAATCTCATAGATTACTGGAAGTCTTAGAGGTTACAAAGAAGTGCCCTTAATTTGCTTTACATTTCCCCAAAACTTAGAATATTTTTGTGAAATATTGAAAGGAGGTAGAATTACTGTGAGTTATGCAATTGTAAGGAACGCATGGTCCTTGTTTAGGACATCTCCTGCAGTATTTGAGAGCTGCTGCTGTCCCTACTTTGTTGCAAGGTCACTTCTGTCAATACCAACCAGATGTCTATCCTCTGGGTCTGCCTAAACATGGTTTTCCCTGTGAGCCCCAACCTGCTGCCTTCACCTCCCTGTTTATTCCCAACTCTTCTCCTCCCACTGCTTTTCAATGTTTTTTCTCTTGATTCATGATTCTGTGAAGACAATCACATTTGTCCTCCTTAAGTCCCATCTGTTTCTCTGCAGTTCATTAGCTTAATGTTATGGTATTGTGCCATCAATGATCGACTGGCAAAGCAATATGATAAAATATATTCCAAATATGCACAGGCTTTCGAAATCCCATGTCTTCCTCACTGCCTAGCTAAGGGAAAACTCTCTGATAAAAGCGTTCCTTCCTCTTTTACAAACATATCACAAGAGAAATTGGTTGACAAGATGAACCACTGTGAGTGGAATAAAGGAGCCTGTGTCTTTACAAACGTGTGAAATAATTCCACATTCTTTGGTGAACAGGACTAGGGAGTGCAGGCAGGGAGGTCGTGCTATACCTATGTGATTGGGTACAGTCAACCTCAGGGGAAAACAGGAGGGGAGCTGAGAGATCCTCATCAAAAAATGACCACAGAATGAACCTTAGTAGAGTAGGCACAAGCATAATGAGCTAATGCATATTAACTTTCACACCCAGGAGAGGCATCAAGTCCCTTTAATTAGACATGTGATGTATGACCAGGGAGGGGGAACACATCAAGGAGCAACATAGATCAGGCAAGCACCTTAGCCAACGTGGAAAAGAAGAGGGCATATCTCGGTTGGGAAATTAGGATAAAAGGAGGCTGCGCCCTCCTGTAATTGGAGAGACCCCACAAGGGTATGCCCCAGGGAACTCTCCCTTTATTCGAATATAGTTTTAGGACTCATCTGTCTCCTCTGTGGACATTTGGTTCTGGACAGCGAGATTTTCTGCACAACTGCAAGGCAACGCAATATAATGCACAATAGCACAAAAGACAAAGGTTTTGCTGTATTATTTTCTCTTTTCATCTTTGAATTCCAGCATAAAATACATAAGTGAATAGTTTGCATTTTGGGTTGTTGCCCTAAAAATACAGACGTGAAACCTGTGAAAGGCTATCAGTTGCCCTGTGAGGGATCAGGGAAGGCCAAGGTGAAAAATACAAAGACACTTCATTCTGCTCTCTCACAATTCTCTCCTACTATCATCATGCTGTATTCGGAATTAAAACTCTGGCAATTATAATGGATTTCATTGAGTTTCCAAAATAAGAGTCAAATTCTGTTAGCCCCAGTACACCACTTGAGCCTGTAAAGCCCACACATAACCAACGTTTAGCCCTGGTTTTCATTTCACAATAATCTTAATTTAGTGACAGTGTTATCCTTCATAGATATCAGTTTCAGCATGTAGCCCAGCTTTTAACAGAAACTGAAAATATTTTTCCATTACTTCTTTTTCCTTTCATCATCTCCAGCCAACACAGTGAATGGGAACATCTTATGGAAGCAAACCTAGGGTGGGAAAGGGCACAGTGAGCCCTGGTACCAGACTCTGCTACAGACTCATACATTTGCACTGACAAAAACACCAAATTATCACAGAACTATTCAGATTATTTCTACTATTCTCACTAGTAAAATGTTACAGAGCTACATGCTTGATTTTTATAAAGCTAAAAAGGCTTTATACAGCATATGTGCAAATGCTTTCTGGCTTTGAAACTGAACAAATTTAAGATTTAATTTATTAACATTTTAAAGATTTAAGACAAGCAAAAAGTTATTTTTCATGTGAAAGCTAGAAAGATCCAAATGATACCTTGTTCCTTATAATGTCTTTCTTTATTATAATGTCTAATAATAAGCAACGCTAACATGCTACATTGCTTCAGCAAGAAAGACTTGACCAAAATGGAAATATTAATCTGCACTTTAATTTGAAATTAAGGCATTTGGGTATTGTTCTGAGCTTCTTCATAGTCAATTGCAAGGCACTTAACAGGTCTGTGAAGCAATTATTCATCAGCAAAGCAGATTATATTTTTTCTTTCACTTGTTTTCTTCTCTATTTAGATGCTAAATTCTTTAGCAAMAGGAACAACTCAGTAACTGCAATGCAACACAAATGTGCTTTAGCTGTTCTTGGTGTCACCTAATACCAAATGCATTAAAAATATTTAATAGAAAAAATACAGGTGGCTTCTTATAATAAGTTTTTAGGTAGAGTACAAAATACCGCTGAGAAACAGGAAGATGCATGGTGGCTTTTTTATTCCTTATTTCTCTCCTGTGGATCATGAAGAACACATCAAGACAAACAGGCTCAGTGACTGGATGTTACTAAAATTCCTACATAATGCCTTACAATCTGGGCATGTTTTTAGTATGAAAGAAGAAAATATTCTCAGGTAATTTTGAAACAAGGTGTATTTAAATTCCATAAACTGTGGCTGAAGAACTGAATTCTCAATATTGACTAGCAGTCATAACGATGGAGCATCATTCCCAGCACGGGATGACAAACATTATAAAGATGAATATTTAAATCATTCTGAAGACACAAATATGGTTGAGTAATACATCAATAGGTAATAATAAATATCTCTAATCATTACTTACCCATTTGCAATTCAGAGATGGTTTCTACCAACGACCAGTCTAAACTGTAACCACAGTGGGATTTGTCCATCAAATTGTCTAGCACTTGTCTCACTGTCTGCCTCTCATCCACCATCATTGTTTTAGAGCTGTCATCAGACATATGGACTCTGATCACTAACTAACAAGCAGAAAAGGAAAAAAAAAGACAGTAATTTCCTGCATGTAACCTACATTAAGTAAAAACAGTTTCTGAGATTCTGTTAAAATATTAATATCAATCAAAATTCCCCCTCTAAATGTAAACAGCAATAAATGATGATTCCCTACTAAGCAACTGTCAAATAAACTTTTTTTCTTTCTTTGTAAGAAGATAAAAGATCCCTCATAATGCAATGGATATGTGCTCTAACTGTATGCCAAGGAGGAAAAATCATTCCTGAATAACTGTTCATTTATGATGACTAAAGTATCCCTATGCCATTTTTTCTCATTCATCTAGGTGGCAGTGCAAGACTAAGTACATGAACTTAGATATAATCAGATTTTTTTTCCAAACTCAAAGTCAAGCTTTCTGCTTCCTTTGTATTTTCTGAAAATATTGATTATACAAAGACCTATACCTATACCTATTTTAAATTTTCTTTTATCAGGTAAGTATGGAGACTTACTGCGAAACAGACCTGCTTGTAAAATACAGTGACTTTTCACTGCCACTGCTGCAAAGGCTGATCACTGTCCAGAAAGAAAAAATGCAGCCATTTTCTCAACTAACCACAAAACCGTAAAGACTATAGATTCTTCTTGTCACCCCTTATGCCATTCACTTCACTTTTATGCATCACTAAGCTAGGACAGTTAAAATATACTGCTTATAACACACTACATGTTTTGTTTATTCTCATCCTCTGCTCAGGATGGTTTTGTAGCTTTTAATTTATAAATGTTAAATGTATATGATATTCTAAGTTACTGAAAAGCATTACAGTTTACATGAACTAATGTCAGTAGACTTTCTACGCTTAGTAACTTGTCCGCAATGTATAATGCTTGCTTTCAGTCCCCCAAAGAGAAAAAAAAAAATGGTACACATAGTGAGAGTGGATTTATAAAGAAATCAGACCTAAAATTCAAATCTAAAGCTTCTCAATAGACAAAGACAACCTCAGGAAAGGATTTTCAAGCCAACAGTGGATGGAAGCCTTCTAATGTGTATCTGGTTGCAAACTAAATCATTCTTTAAGAAAAACATAAGGTTATTCCATATTTTAGGACTTCTTGCTCAGGACCAGTCTAGATTAGAAAATATATTATCACCAAAAATGAGAACACTATAGAAATGGTGCTGCTTTACAAAAAAAATAAGTGTAAAAAGTCTCTTTTCTATTATTAGGACAACTATAGGGTAATAGAAAAAAATGAATAAAATTCTGTGAGGATTTTCTATACATCTGCAAGCACGTAAGAACACATAAAGCAATATAAATAACTTACTTTTTTCACTTGTGCCTCTTTAATCTTCTCTAAGGCAACCCTAATCTTCTCAGCTTTGAGTTTAGCAGCTTGTTCCTCCTGGGGGAGACAGAACATACAGAATTCTAGTTACACAAACTTCATGCTGGTTTTAGAACATTTAATTTTGAAGATATCATGCTCTAAACCATAAACAGAAATGCTAATTTACCCGCCATGAAGACCCACAACAGTTTGTTAGTGACAATGAGAAATACTGTTTTTAAGACAGAAAGTGTTACACTGTGTCTGTCAATTAAACATGCAACTGCCATTATAACAAAAACCAACATACTGAAGGCATATATTTTTCATCGACACACTCAACATTGTTCTTTTATTCCATATTCTAGTAGCAAAGTATGTTTTTACCAAATATTTTAGACACACTACATATTTACAGTCATAATTTTAGTCTTAGCTAACGTCATATTCAAAGAAAAGGTACAATTAAATGCGCCCAACAGATTTTAGCTTCATCAACATAAATAGCAGAGAGAAATATCAGAATTAAATTGCACACAAAGAATTTTAAGAGCATCCTACAAATAGGATTTCACATGATCTGTTTTGGAAGTTTTAAATCTATTAAATTAGTCTGTAATAGTTAAGGAGATTGAACTCTTCCATTATCTTTACTAAATCCAGACTGTGTTTCCCCTCATTTATAAGTGCTTGAAGACACATAAAGCAAACAGTCATTTGCATCTTTGATGATCTTCTGTTATGCAATCAGAAATGCATTAAAATACGCACAATTTAAATATATTCACTAGTCCTATAGAAACCTTTATACTGTAATACAATAAATAGTTGCTTTTAATAACAGCAGGTCATTGATATTTCTATTTAAATTAAACCTGTATTTTCAAAATCTGCATCGATAGGTTTCAAATTTTACATTTCTTAAATTAAAGATTTTCATCATGGCAAGTATCTTAAGACACCACAATCATTTAAAAATTTTAGAACAATAAATAAACATATAAAAAGGAAAAAAACACTCCTTTAAAATAATGACTTCAAAAAAGAAAAATGAAGACTTTCCACAAATCAAAAGTCACACAGTCCCTCTCCATAACAGTTACCATCTCATACAAATTTAGCAGTGCACAGCTTCAGTATACGAATGCAGACCATGCTTTCTTCACCACATGTTGCGATGGTGGCTTTCACAGAATAATAAAGATTCAGCTGTTTTCAAATCTGTAGAGTTTAAGTTTTTCTTTCGAGTGCAGTGGCTACTGTCGCCATCAGCTGTAAAAAGGCATTTCCTATCGCATTTATCTTATTCTTACTTACCAACTTTTGCCCCCTCACACTCATGACTACAGTATGCACTGGAAGCAACATGAGCTAGACAGGACAAGCGACTGACTGCCTTGGGAGAAACATAATCCTTTCCAGTAGAAGGAATCAGTAGACTGACAGGAGTAGAAATAATGGGGGCTTGAAACATTATCTAAGAACTCAATTACCTAAGAATATAGTTTTTTATTAGTCTACAGGGAACTAAGACTCTTTTCATTTATCGTAAAGATGGTGTTGAGTAACTTAGGCTGCATCAGATTAGATTCTGTTAAAAAACAAACAGCACAACGATATCTGCAATCATTTAAATGCAAAATACACACTGAATTCTCAATCAGTCTTCCTCTCTATTAACCATTTCCATGCCTAAAAAAAGAAAGAAAGAAATTACCCCAAACCAAGATTTCAAATAGCTGCAAGCTTCTAAAAGTGATGCTACGGGCCTACATCTTCTGAAACCAGTAGGAGCAAAAGATATTTTCTAACATTTATTTTGAGAAACTGTAATTTTTCGTTTAAGAAGTTGTGCATGAGCTCAACCAAAACAAACCTCTGCTGCTGCGCAAAGGCTGAGAGTACATTTGGTTTCGCTCCTCACTGAAGGGGCCCAATTTTCCATCCCATTTCACTCTGCGGCCATGCAAAGCAACTGACTCCGGCAAACGCCAGCAGGAGCCTTCGCAGGCACAGCCCCGCATGGCAACCACGCAGGGCGAGCAACAGGGAAGCAGCGAGGGCCTTTCCATACACTGAACATTGCTGCTCTCCAAGTCCACAGCAGATTCTCATTCTCTGAAAAGCTTTTATTTTTTAATATAAAAAAAAAATCCACGGATTTGCTGTTCTACCACCTAGCAATTACTTTTCATTTGCCACTCAGTTTTCATATGGGTGCAGCAATCAGGATTTCCTACATTTATGCTTCACTAATTTTAACACTTTAAGTTTAAATCTCAATTAAAAAAAAAACTTAAAATGTTCTAAAAATAAAAATTAATTTTAACCAGCAACAAATGATAAAAGAGTCACAATCTATTTACTAGAAATACACAGAAGAAAAAGAAGCAAAATATTAGAATTTTCGAAAGCAACTAGTCAGGGATTTAAAGTTATTCAAGTTCTGCTTTACAGTTGCTTCTCAGGCCAGTGCTGCATCGCGGCTGAAGTGACAAACAGCATTTTAGTATGGCAGAACAACAGAACAACAGTGTGTCTTCACTGCTTAACGGAGTAAACTACAGAGCTCTTCAAATCTTGCAATAATTTACTCTCTTGCTCCCCCAGTAGTTCACATTCCCAGCAGAACTGCCCCCAGAGCAGCACATGGACCTGCCTATGAAGAAAACAGCAGTTTTTTAAAATCCTCATGACGCGAGCGGGGTTCCCTAGGGATGTAAACGTGGTACAAAGCCAGGCTATAGCTGCACCCTGGCATAAGCCAAGGCGATGCCCTGGGGGCTGCAGGGCCGCTCCTGGCACAGCTTTCCTGCCTGCGGTTGTGCTGGTCATGGTGCTGCTGTGGCCACAGACAACCTGGGGACTGGACCTTGCGTGGTACACAATTAATGCGGCAGAAAGGTTACCTTCAGCAGAATCAGCCCCGTGTCAGGACTGCACTTATACTCAATACATGCTACACAGTGGCATAAAGGATATAAATACATGCTGTGTAAAAACACAAAGTGCCCATTTCTACCTCTTTCAGGAGAAAGATACTCTCTTCTAGTAACTGAAAAACTACAACACATCTTCACTCCAATGGGATTATTTTAGGAGAGCATTACCTTGTACTTTTAAGGATTTGAGCCTTCATAGGCTTTTGACCTCTGCTGAAGTTATGTTTGCTTATGGAAAACATGATGCATGGCTGAAGGAATGCTTGGTGACATAACTACTGTGAGAGCTCATTCAACCAAGATATCCCACTACACTATGAATTAAAACTTAAAATCTATAGCCCTGCAATACAACCATCTTAATTAACTTATTCTTTATAGTTATAAACTACAACTTAGCATTCAGTAAATTTGCACTATGCTGTAACATTGGAAAAAAATCTATTATGACTAGCAGTGTCTTTTGTCCCAAGTTTCTGTTAGAGAGTCAATAAAAGACACTCTGTTTTAACATTAAACATGCAAGACATGCACTATAATGGAGCCGAGCTTACTCAAAGAACTTCATTCTTTTTATTTTTAATTTGGGGATCCTTTTTTTCTTAAATGTTTCATTGCACACTGATTAAAGTGGTAGCGATTGATCCCTTTAACTTGCCCAGAGGAACACAGGCAAAATGGGGAAAAAGTAAAACATGCCTTAAGAATGGTTACAGGATGTAGAAAATCCAGTTATTAAATGACTAAAGGCAAGTAACAAATCAGATTTCACTGACGGGGTAGAAGACAGAGATTATAAGATGCATACAGGAAGAAAGGTTGTGTTTTTAATATTTGCAATATTTTCTCTGCAAAGCCTTTCTCTGAATGCAGGCAGCATTCTCCTGCAAAGGAGCAGAAGCAGATACCTACTGCTTATTTTGCTAGTTACAGTCTAGTCTCATGTAGAAATTCAACCATCTGCTTTGAAAGGATTCTCCTCTCCCAGGATTCTTATGGAAATAATGACTTCTTTTGCCTGAAATAACACTATGACCAGCTCAGGTTCTGCGTACTCCCTCAAACTTCAAGACATCCCTTTGCTTTCTGTCAATGAGAGCAGTTACCTGGTAGATGGCAGTTTGTTACAGTCATAAATCAGTTTTTTTTTTTTTTTAACTAGTTAATTTTTTTTTTCTTTTAAAAAAAACTAAAACATTGGAACAGCTGTGTATGTGAGCAGCATGGGACAGAAAAAGTTATGACTGCAGAAGTTTTCCAAGTTGTTTTCTTCTCCATTCAGAGTGGATTTTAATAACACTTCTTCTATACATATTTCATTAAGTAACTAGGAAGCATGGCATCTACCCTGAAAAACGTATCTGTGCTGTCTTTGAGGCACTAGCTGGCAGTGGTGGCACAGCCCATCCATAAACAGTGAGGTTGGTCATGAGCTACTTACGCAAACACATTCTCAAACAGTTATTGCTTTTTTATTTTTATTTTTTTCCAAAATAACCAAGGGCAGCCTGTATCTAAGGGAAGCAGGAAACAAGACAGTTGCTTCTTTCAAAGCTCTCCCAAAGTGAAAGGCCCCAGCAGCCATTCCCCTGCTGGGCAGTCTATCCTCCATAGAGTGTCTTCCACACTTCCCTCTAGCAGTGCCCAGGCTTCTTACTGAAGATGCTGATATAGGTGAAGGAGGAGGTAGAACTGTTTTGGGGGGTTGTATTCAAGATAACAGCTCACTTAAAAGATTTATCAGGCAATGATTACACTATGCTGTTTTGAAGACAGGGATATAGCATAAATGCAAACAATGATGCAGGGAGAAGTGGCAATTTTCTTTTTGCTGGAAATGAAAGAAATCCTGCTCCTGCCCCCAACCAAGCAGGCAGAACTGCCTAGCAGTTTCCATGAATAACTTTTTTTTTTTTTTTTGCCTCTTCCGCCCCTGCTCGTTTGTTTAGCATCTGTTCCACATTCACAAACTTTCTGCTATTAGAAGGTCAACTCCAACCCTAAAGATGGCCTCTGAAGGGAAACTGGGAAACAGTTGTCATGTTTTACATAAATACCAAAGTCTCAGTATCGAGTACCAAGAGCTCCTGCAGAGGGGATCTTTATGGGGGCAGCCTAGTAGGGCAAAGCAGGCGTCACTGCTCAGGAAAGCCAGAAGATAGATGGCAGCTGCTTATAAACTCCAAACGAAGAATGTCATCTATGAATCTCGCCTAGACCTTCCTTTGTGCTTGACCAAAATTATTCAATACTTAAACTTTTACAATGTTCTCATATCTCAAATCATATAAGAGAAAAAATGCATATTATTTAGCAAAGTGTTACTGCTAGAAGTGCAGAAAGATTTTCTACAGAAGTTTGTTAGCACTTTCTCTTATGAAAGGGAACTACTAGGGAACTTGAACAAGATCAAAGCTTTATTTGTTGGTAACTTCATCATAACACATAGCTGAGCAGAGAACTGCCATGCCAGCTGTCTGTCTCAAGCTGAACTTGAGCATGAGGATAGCTCTCAAAAGGTGATATCTTTCTTGCCTTCAAATAGGACCTTTCTTGCAGTAACTGCTTGAAGTCAGGCTTCTCCTTAGCATACCTAACTCAGGTATGTACAGGGAAGAAGATGCTGTATCTGAAGGCCAGAAGAAAGGGGACAAAAGAATCCAGAAGGGAACAACAAGACACAGAAACCACAGTAAGGGATTTTGAAAGAGAAGGGAAGATGACAACATGAGGAGGCACAGGAGTTTTAGCTATGGACAAAAAGCTGAATTGACAAGACATGGGGAACAGGGTAGAGGTGGGGTGCGACCAACACACATTTTAGCCTATAGGCTGTTCACCTAACTTCCACAGTAGCTTCCTACACACCACAGGACAAAAATGATACTTCAACTGCATTGGAGCATGACAACAGTCACAATGGATTAGTACAGAGTAGGCTGTTGACTAGAAACAGTGCATTGGTCAATTCTTGGTGTTTATGTATTAAACTGCACTATTTTTTGTTGTTGTTGGGGTTTTTTTTGTTTTTTTTTTTTTTGTAGTTTCTAAGTCTGGCTACCTCAACTTCCTCAGAAGTGGATCTAAAAAGGAAGAGCTCTCAGACCGTGTTTACCTCTTTTCCAGATTAGCCATCGATTGCTGTATTTTTATACTTCCTTCAAAAAAAAAATCATCTCTCAAACAGATGGTCATTCACAATTGAGCACATGTGAGCTAGATTCAGCCAAGATGCATGAAGTCAATTTCACAGCTGACTTCGAATTAGGTCTGGAGGGACTGTACTGTGGAATAACCAAGGTTTGCAAACCAGGAGAGAATAAACATTCGTGTGAAACATGTTTGCCTGAAAGGCAAACAAGAACGGAAAAATGAAGTACCAGCTATTTGGAAAGAGAAGTCATAAGGATTAATGTTATCTCTTCTCCAGATGCTGACATTCATATCTGCAGCATTATATCATTAAATCCCTATCATCTGGCTTCCTGCATGTAGCTCCAGTTCCATATGCATTAAAATGGTGGAAGAACAGATGACTTCAGAATTCAGCAAGTTACATTTCTATTTCCTGCTTTCATGATCTAAACTGGGAAAATATCCCAACCCTGAATACTGTCTCACAAGTTTTCACGTGTTCTGTATTTCATAGTCATAAAAGACTAAGATGACAAATGTCAGAAGCAAAGGTTTAACCTTCAGTATTCATCTTATAGCTTAATTCTAATCCAGCAGGGTAACCAATCTTCCAGATTTGACATTAAATTTACATTGCTTTATTCTCAATATTCAATAACTTAAGATTTACGTTGTTGTGCTTTGCCTTCTGCCTTTCAAGGAAAGGGCGAGAATGCAACACATGGCATTGCATTAAAAATGAGGAGACTACAAATAATAGATTGTTTTCTTTTATGAGATCTGACCTATGCTTTGGCAACAACTGTGTATGTCTGTAACTCTAAAAGACTCTGGTCCAGGACTGGCACTTGTAGAAGGAGCCATGACACCAGCAGACAGAGCTGATATTATCATTCCCCTGACTGCCTCTTATGTCTTGACATAAGAGGAACACAGATGAAGGAAGGGAAAGAATGAAAGAAACAGTATATATATATATACACATATATATATATATATATATATAAGAAAACAGCTAGCCGACACACCAGACACCCTGGAATAAGCTGCAAAACACAGAAGTTGATCTCAAATTTATCTGTCACAAAAAGGAAAAGTCCCATTTCTCTTAGTTACATGAACCCTTTGCTTCTCTGATATTAGGGCTCATCTAATGCTAAAGTAAGCTGGAAGAGCCCAAGCCAGCAACAAACTGGACTCCACACCCACTGTTTTACTTGAGAAATTTCTGTCTGGTGGACATGAGATGAGAACCAGTAACGACACCAGGATTATGTGCTTGGGAGTTAGAAGCAGAGGGCATATGTGTACTGAGGTAGTCCTAAACTTAGCTGATGTCAAACAAACATCAGCCTCTGACCATCAGCAAGCTCATCACGAGCACCTGCCTTAAAGCTGAAAAGTTCAAAGACAACAAGCCAAATCATTATTTTTCTGTTCTTGAAATTTGTGTTCATGAACATTGAGCCACAAACAGATCCTCTACCAAACTTTTAAAGTGCTAATTTGGAATGCAAACAAATTCAAGAGAGTCAATGCCTGCCTCCAAATATTCTCTAAACTACAAAGCTCATCTTCAAGTTAAAGATTCATAAATCTAAAAATTTAACTAGTGGAAACTATTAGAGCCACCAGTTGAGGTAGTTCATGATCACCTGACTCAACAAACTTAACATTTTATGTATTTTATTGACGTTTCTATGGTAATAAACATTCATGCAGCATATAAACAATAAGATCACTGAGTACATAAATAATCAGAAGAGAGGATATGAAGACACATGGAGATGAAAAGCCATGGTTTATATTTACTCCACAGCAGTTTTTAATTCATGTGCATCCAAGCATGGTTGGCTCATTTGGTGCCTATTTGGTTGGTAATTCTGGGGGTTGGAGTGAGGAGGAGCTTGAATTTCAATTTAAAAAACAAATGTATAAACAAGTAGAAAGTTTCTTTCTTTGGCTTTTCTTAATCCTCCTCTAGAAGAGGGTCTGCTGTAAATTTGTTTCAAGATGATGAATACAGAGTGCGTTAAAAAGCATGTTAAGATATTTAAGAAAAAATAGCAGGTTTAGCATTTAATTAAAAAAAAACAGAATAGTTACATCCAGCAAATATTCTCTGCATTGCTTTAAGGCAGTGACAAATGTATATGGGCAGCTTTTAGAAAAATAATCCAAGGAAAGGTCTCCAGGAGGTAGGTAGCCTCAGACGTACCTGGCATTTCAGCTACTAGCACTGAAGTTTTCTCAATAAGGTGACATCTTCTTCCCAGTATATCCTCGCCTAGAAGATGTTATAGCTTACTTGATATCTCTCCTACTCTCATTTCAAAGGTGAAAAGGAAAATGTACAGAAACTGCAATGCTCAACAAGCTGAATCAGTGAAAGTGCATTTGATGGTCTCTCAGACCATGTGCGGTCACTTTCCTGGAAGGAAAATTAACTTATAACAAAGATTTGTCCATACTCGACTCTTTAGACCACTTTCTTCCTAGAATATTCTCTTCACAGAACTCAAAACAGGAAAAAAAAATCCCATTATTTATTAGAGTTTAACTTCATACAGCAAGTGAAATTACTTTAAGGATACTTCCAAGAGCACTAAATGCATCCGCTTTTTATTATTATTATTATTATTATTATTATTATTATTGGTGAATGGGAGCAGGAACAGAAGAACTTGTAGCTCAGTAAATTTCTTTTTTAGCCAGGGCATTTTACCTGCTGATATGTCTACTAAATATTTGCCAAGACCTTGAAAGTTTTAAAGAATTTGCAGAAACAAACAATGAAATACAGCCCTTAAAAGCACCTGTTTTGTTGGACAAGAGAAATCATGTAAGCAAACACAAAAATTCCCAGGGAAGGCAGGGGACTAAAGCATTCGTTCTACACGGAAACAGTCACATGCAGGTGGAAAGAAGAAGCATCACCTTGGTCAGCAAATGAGAAGGCTTCCCTGCAATGTTTCTCAGAAGGAGGGAGGTTTCCCTGTCCAAATAGGAGTGCTTGTGCAGAAAGAAAGAGAAAGAACATAAGTCAAAAGAAGTCAGTGTGGCAATTTTATAGTGTATTGATTACAGAAGATAAGCAGAGTTTAAGGAAAAAACCCTTAGTCGACTTTTACTTTTACCCACCCACACAAGCAGGAGCATTCCCCAACAGTTATCTTGGACACCCTGCCAGCCTAACACAATACCATAAAAGCAGCTGTGCTAATACAGAAATTAAGTTTATTCTTCACCTGTATAACCATCACACAATAGAATTAAGAAGAGTTTTGCTTACCTGCTACGAGATTTTCTGCAAGAGACAATGAGTTTTCAAATATGCTTAGATTTATAAGAGCAAGAAAAAACACAAGACACTTTTCCATCTCCTGTCTGTGTCTGGAAGTCTTTTAAAACTGGGCATTCTGCTTCTACTAGGCAAACAAAGCCACTAAAAACCGCTCATCACAAAAGCAGAGAATGCTTTCATGATATCAACAGTGGTTGCTGCTTTCAATAATTAACCATTACCATATTTTTTATTATCTAAACCTGACTTACAACATGTTTTTTAAGGACATGTCTCTCCTCTCTTACAGAGTCCCAATTATATAATCCAAGAAGTTGGAATCAAATTACCAAATTTCTCTGAGAAATTAACAGTAAGCACATTTTCATCCATTTACATCCAGTAAACAATAGAAAACACTTGTCAAAAGAGAAAAATCAATAATAGTTAGAGTCATTGTCATCTGTACCACCTGGTACAGAGAACAATGAAACCATCAGCACAGAGAAGTATGCAGAACTGCACAATCACAGTGCAACAACAACATGGAGTATATCCCATATGCATTATCACAGTACCGCAAAACTTGACCCATGTGGCTGAGCATGTCTCAGCCATTATTTCTGTGTTTACTGGCTTTACACCATACGTGTAATGCATAAGAACTAAGCAGCCTGCTAACCTCTTGTTTAATAACAAGAAATCAAGTATAGAACAGAATCTATCTTCTTCAGAGCCACTGCAAGCAACGGCCTCCTAAGCAAATGCTGAAAGCTTCATGCAGGCCAGCAACAGCCACTAATACAGACTCGGTTTATGCTACAGAACAAATGATTTTTTTCTATCAGCAGAGTAAAATCTATCTGCCTCTACAGCCAAAGTTTTAGAAGAGCAGTCTACCTACTAACATGCAGATTTTTCACACCTGAAATACACAGAAGTGCTATGTGATACAAGATCTGATATGATTAAAAGGCCTCATACATATTTTACACTATTTTTTTCATAATTCTTGGAACGCTCTTCTTGATATATATATAAGCACTTGGAACAGATCAAATGCCTTCTGCTACTTCTACAGAGGATTTCCAGCACTCTCAGTGACACCTAATAAAGGCTATCATTTAAAGAATAGCCCATTTACCCTGAAAAACAGGGAAACTATGATAAGGCCTCTTAGCAGAAAAACATTTGTGCATTAAAAAAAAGACTATTGAAGACTTAGTATGATGATGAAAAATTTGCTGAACACTGAAGTTCTATAAAAGTCATACCTTTGTCAGGAGATGACAAGACAGCTGTGCATGAAAATCCAAGATAACTGAAAATATTTACAATAAAAATGAGGTGTGACGATCAAAATATCAGAACAAGCTATAAAGAAACCCAAACACATCAATAAGCACACAAGTGTCTCCATAACAAGCTTAAGCTGGTATGGATAATCACAACATAGAAAAATAGGTGTGAATAAAATTAACACTAACATTTTCAAGTCCTTGGTGATGCTGGGAGAGACATTTTAAATAATTTTCAGATGTAGTTTATTTAGTAAAGATAGCTAGCCTAGATGTTTATAAAAACAGAAGACTTGTTGCAAATTACTTTCTGGACTTCAAAGATTTCCTGTATTTTTTCTTTGAAGCCAGGAATGCAACATCCATTATCTTCAGGCCTACATACCAGGAGAAGTTCATGGACCAGCTGTTTAATATTGCATTTCACAGTGTTTTCAGAGGTTACCACACAAAACTCTTCAGAAATAGAGAAAATTAGTGCTAATATCAGTATGCTTTTGAATGTGAGAACATATTCGACTTTGTCACAGGCACAAAATAATAACTTCTTCCCTTCTGTTCAAAAGTATTTGGGAGCTAAAGAAGGGAGGAGATGCATCATTTTACTCCATTTAGCAAAGGTTCACCCGTCCATGACAATATATCATCTAACTACAAACCAAGTTTTCTTAGTATGTGTAGTTCTGCTTTTCACACCAAAGAAACTACTGCTACTATGACTTCTTCCAAAGGTAGAGACAAAACTACAAAGGGTGTTCTTTTAGACAGAATAAAACAGATGGATTACCAGCAAAACAATATACATTTCAAACTCTGAGAATATGAATGGTTGCAATACAGCGAGCAACAAGTAATCCTCTACACAGCCAAAAGCCCAGGATTTCCTTTATTATCCTTGTCATTTCCTTTATAATAGGTTCAGGGTTTTTTTTTAACCCTGCAAGTTCTGAGACCCAGGATGAAAGCCAGTTTCAAAATAAACAAAATCCAGACGTTATTAATACTATATTATCTAACATATTAGAAACATTATTTTAGAAAGTAACTGATGGGTGGATTTTAAAAACTAAGGATCCTTTTAAAACAGGGGATAAGGTGAGCTTTCCAGTTAGCTTCTGAAGGGTGCAGGCTGTGTAATCTGTTTTGCAAGAGCATGGGGCAACCAGCTCACAGGGAGCAAACAAGGCATCGTCTCTCTGCTTCCTTCCCAAGCGCTACTTGCAGGGCTTTGCCAAAACCCATAACGTGTGATCACATCAAGCACTTCTTGTTACTCGCCTGGTTAGCACTTAGGGTGAAGTAGGTAGAAATTTTGAATCCAGAGATTCAATCTCGTGCCTAAAAGCCAGTATCTAATCCCCCTAATTTGCAACTAAAGGCTCAGAATATGTGTGTACAAGGTTTAAAAACAGTGCAATACAGCATGAGAGGTGCTCCATAGGTTCTTTACATTGCCACTTTACAAATAATGAACAAAACTATGTGGGAAATATAGTTGAAAGACATGCCAAACTGCTAAAATATCTTATTGTTCTAATGTCTTAAATATTAGATAAAAATCCTCCTTTTCAAATAGACAGTTATCTATAGAAAGGTATCATTCATTCAAGCTGTGTGCAACAAAATAACTTCACTACATATAACAGGACAAGACACTGAGGACTTGTGTAAATATCTTGACACGTTTCTTTCAAAACTCTTTCAACAGACATATCTAATTAAACCTGCTGGTGGCACTGTTGTGCCACATTTTCAGTAAAATATGACAGTTAAATACCACAAAACTGTTTTATAAGTCTATCCCTGTCCCTAAGAAATGAAATAAAGACAGAAATAGTAAGCAATGGCTGATAGAAGCGTATAGTTGTTTCCGAAGTTTAAAATATTCCCTATTCTAGCTTTGGATTAAAAACTCAAAGTTACAAGCATTTTCCTAACTTTGTCACAAACTATAGCTTATTTTGCTGTCACTTTTTTTTAACTCTGAAAGAGGAAAGGGAAACTGATTTTGTTCTTTTAAAAATCTTTGAGAATATGGATTTATATGCAGTGTATAAGAACACGATATAAAATGATGTATATCTAATTACAAAACTCCACCTTCTGTCCTTATTTGAAACTGGCTGCCAAAAGCAACTATATTTCACAAAGAAAATGCTGTTTAATCAGTCTTTCCCAATTAATCACTGGGAAACAGGAGAGAATTAACTGAAAGTAGACTGAAAAGCTTACCTGTGACTTTATGCATAGGTACCCGATAGCACTGTTGGCAAACCAACAGCTTGAATTCAAAGTCACTACCGTGACTTCTGCTTTGCAGTGCAATTCATACCACCATTGACATAAATAGAAGCCATCCATACATGTTACACTAACTGACAAGAGGGAGTTCAGCTTCCTTTTCTGGGAAAATTGTGGGATGCTTGGACTGACTGAACATTCTATAGAAACATGCAGTAAAAGTATAGGAAAAGGGAAGAAAGTTCCTAAAAGGAAGAGAACTAGAGGGTGGGGGTTGGAGAAAAAGTTTTATTATCACTCAGCAGGAAGAAGAGAGAAATCTTGATGGCAATGACAGCAAAGGATATAGCTACTTTAAGAAGTTAGCGTCCTTGATCTTAACTTCTCAAGGAACAACAATCAATGACCTCAAGACAAGGAGATTTCGTTTTCTTGGAATGGAGAGGAGAATAGGATACAAATACACTCCAAATCACGATGGGAGGGGTGGGAGGTGTAACTTCAGATGAAAGCACTGGAGGAAAACACTTGCAGTCTCACCCAAGGCACCTTCTACCTTACTGGAAAAAAGTCCGTAAGGAACAGGCTCTGGTAACGCTCTCCTTGTGCAACCACCTGCTCAGTGAGCCAAGACCTGGAAGTTAATTCACTCGATGCTACAGCAGAAGAGATATATAACAGACAATAGGATACTATCACTTTATAAAATCTCATACACTTCCCATCTCTGTTTCTCCACAACAGTAAATAACAAAATACACTCTCCAGATAATTCGTAAGTATCTACATGAAAAATATGCACCTCAGATTTATTTCACTGTCACTTCCTGACGGTCATACTGTTTTAGATCTCTGAGCTCCCTCACACTGCCATTTACTTGAAAAGAACCAAAGAGAAAACATTTCTATAATACCCCAGTTTTAGCTAAGGAAAAAAAAGGAGCGAAGCAGCAAATAAAAATATTGACACACAATTGTGGCTCAGAACAAAACGTTCAGTCAGAATAAGGACAAGTTTCTTAATGCGAGGTCATTCAGGGACTAAAAGTGAACGCTATACTACTAAAACGTGGAATGTCCAAGACTTCCAACTTGTCTTACAACTCTAGGAAAGTATTTATTTTTGGCATGTTAATTTGGGTAACTAAATTATACAATTTCGGTCTGACAAATGCAAAAGGGTTACAGCT